GTGTGAATATACAATTGGTATATAATACTTCAAATCTCTGGTTCTCAGTTTCCTTAGAAATATAATTAAAAATTAACTAGAGTATCTTTAATCTCTATTTCAGTTATATAATTCTAAGTCTATAATATATAGATTGGGTATGTAAGTGGCCATATTTGGATACATAAAATAGGATATAATCTCTTGTGAATTAATTCTTTTGTGTGTGTGTGTGTGTGTGTGTGTGTGTCTTTCTGAGGGATTCACCTGCCTAGGTCATTCAAACACAATTTTAGTGAAATCCAAAAAACAATGATGGTAATTTAACATTATATCATTTTACCAGTTTAGTACAGTCTTTTTATGTGACAGCTATTCCAACCTTAAAAGGGATCAAATCATATTAATTCTAAACAGTACACTTTTCGAATTGAGTAACTTTTGTTTAGAAACTAGTCAAAATAATGTCTACTACAAGAAATCTCATACTTATAAGTACATTCTATCCTAAAAGTTGTTGAGTCAATTGTTTGGAACTCTTAACACATTTTACACAGAACTAACTTTACGTAAGATTAGACATGGGGGCTGTGTCTCCATGCTTGAGAAAAAATTAGTTCAATTAGGAAAATATAAGAGGGTAAATAAAAATGATTTTGCAGAGTCTGAAAGTTGTGTTTGGACATTGTCACAAAACTTAGGGCACTGGGTTGTTATCTTTAATAATATTTTCTGCCCCTACCCTTAGAACTCAAGGATTCTGTTTCTAGATATTGATTGTACAACTACCCCAGCACTGACTGGCACACTGTTAATTGAGTGCATCCTTTTTTGTAGTGGTAGTAAATGATTAGGGAAAAATCCCTACAAATGCTTCAGTAGAGAATGTATTGCATAAATGATGACACAATCATGCAGTAAAATACAATACAGCCCTTAAAAAAGAATGAGGTATCCTTTTGTGTACTTACCTGAACACATCACTAAGATATATCATCATGGAAATGAAAGGAGATGCAGAAAGGTTTGAGTAATGGGCTACAGTTTTTTGTGGAGGAAAATAACATCTCTATGCACGTGTCTGTGGATTACTACTGACTATTGTTACCTTTAAGGAAAGGAATTACTTTTCTGGCAACAAGGAAGAGAGACAAGAAGAATTTTGCTCTTCTTTATCAAATTCATAATTCATAAGCAAATGATTTAACTTCGTATTTTCCACCTCCTTGAATTCATTTACACAACTATTCTTGCTATACCAGTTGATCATGCATCAGAAAGTTTTTGTTAAAACTTGATTGCAACAGAGTGAAGGAGAAAACACACACGTACCTTGAGGAAGTGGAGGCAATTGAGAGGGTGAAAAGTAAGAGGATTTAAAAGGATGTCTGAACACACGCAAGAAAGAAATTAATTAAAGCGAGATAATTACTGTGTCCAGTGATTATGTACAATGACACGAAGTTGAGCACAATTATTCTGAGGGAAGAGACCATGAAGGAACATGGTTGGCTCAGACAGTGTTCTACCACCAGGTGGCGTTATCAACCCAAGACAGTTTGGATGCTATTAGAAGTGGGGTACCAAAGGGAGGGTAAAAATGAAATGGCTTTTGGATTAAAAAGTGGAAAGAAGTGTGTGAGCAACTATTCAGAAGTTATAGCAAGAAGCACATATAACAACCTAGCTCTTACAGGACAGGAAAAATGTATAATATTGGGTGCGCGTGTATAAAAAGATGTATAAAAAATTTTAAGGGCCGGACGCGGTGGCTCACGCCTGTAATTCCAGCACTTTGGGGAGCTGAGGCGGGTGGATCACGAGGTCAAGATATCGAGACCATCCTGGCCAACATGGTGAAACCCCATCTCTACTAAAAATACAAAAATTAGCTGGGCGTGGTGGCGCATGCCTGTAGTCCCAGCTACTCAGGAGGCTGAGGTGGGAGAATCACTTGAACCCAGGAGGTGGAGCTTGCAGTGAGCCGAGATCGCACCACTGCACTCTAGCCTGGGCAACAGAGTGAGACTCTGTCTCAAAAAAAAAAATTAAGACTTGCTTAAATGCTGTTGTTTTTCCAAAGGTGAAAGCTCTCCTACAACTTTTGGAAAAAATATTTTTCGCCATAAATTTGCCAACAGAACAAAGCAAATTAAACTGAATATTATAACAGTTGATTTAAGTAATTAAAATTACAATGAAGTTTTTTTGAATTTCACTAAAATTGTGTTTGAATGACCTAGGCAGATGAATCCCTCAGAAAGACACACACACACACACACACACACACACACACACAAAAGAATTGGTTCCTCTCCACTAAAGTGTGTAGACTCAATGGATCAATAATTGGCCAAGTAGTAAATGCATATAACTCAATGAATAAATTTACTGCAAGTAGACACAGGTCAGTTCTATTTCAGAATATCATGCTAGGCAGTGATGTCTGATACCGTGTACAGTAGTTTAAAATGCAAATATCTGAAATATCAGTTTCATAATGAGGTAAATGTGAATAACACCCATTTACTCTCTATCAACTCCTTTTACATGATTTAATAATTGTAAAAGAAGTATTAAAATCATATGATAAAATATATATTTTGATATTTATTGCATATAGGGAAGAACCTTGTGAGATTATTTATTCAAGAACATTCACTGCTTATCTACCATGTGCCAGGTTCTGTGCAGGCACTGATAATAAGATCAAGAAAAATATACAGAGTTCTGTCCCTCATAGTGTAGAGTAATGAGAAAATAAAGGGTTTGGATTTAGACTTGTCTGGTAACCCAAGATGCCGTTTACAGATTGCATTACTTGACAGTTTAATGAATTTCTCTAATTCTCTATTTATTCAAAATATATTTATGGAGAATCTCCCATCTGCCTACTACAGTTTAAGGTGTTGGACAAACATAAATGATTAAAACAGGTAAAAATCCCTGACCTTAAGAGACTTACATATCAATTTCTTTATCAGATAAATAACATAATATCAATTTCATTGTAACAAAGATTAAATGAAAAATTGTACATCTAGAGCACTGAAATGAATTCCAGAAAATAAATTGACTTCCAATAAAGAGAAATTCCCATTTTCCTTTGATTTATGGCTCTTTAGATAAGTTTTTCTACAAAGCCTCATTCTGTGAGAAAGAAGGATCTCTGTTTTTCCCATCTTTGTATTCAAAATAGGAACTTAAAGTTTATTGAATTGCTATTATTTGGAGAATCATTCATTTACCTCACGCATGCCAAAAAGGGTCACCATATCAGACAAAGTTAGTCTTTTTAAAAAAACAAATGATAATAACCAGTCTTAGAAATTATGTAAAATCTGCTTCAACTTATTATATTCAATGTGATAATGCAGTTACTGTTAGTTCAATTTTTATCAATAGTTTACCTTGTTTCACACAAGGGACCAAATAAATTATATAGTACTCTCTTATGGCATAGTCAGAGTCATGCATTTTAACCTTGGTTGAAATCTTGGCCCTGTTACTTGCCATGAGGCTGGTAAGTGCTTCACTTTTCTGAGTCTTTCTGTTTTCTTCTGTGTATAACAAGGATGATTAAAACCTCACAAGGTTGTTAGGAAAATACAATAAGATACTGTAATACAGTGAGTATATATAAAGCACTTAGCATAGTGCTTGGCTTATATAGGAGATGCTCAACATACATTAGTCTCCTCAACTTCAATATTTACTCTTATACTTTTACTACCATAAGTAGAGGCTACAGTCAGCACACTGTTATCAGTGGGTTCTGCATCCATGGATTCAACCAACTGCAGATCAAAAATATTGACAATAAAAAGAATGATTGGGTCTGTACTAAACACATACAGACTTTTTGCTCTTATCATCATTCTTTAAGCAATACCATATAACAACTATTGATATGGCATTTACATTGTATTCAGTATTATAAGTAATATTAAAGAAATAATTTAAATTATTTCTTTATTTAGATAATTTAAAGAAAACAACAGGATATGCATAGGTTATGTGTAAATATTATGTCATTTAATAAAGAACTTGAGCATGCTTGGATTTTGGTTATCTGTGGGGGTTCCTGGAACCAATCTTCCATGGATACCGAGTGATGTCTGCACTATACTGGTGGGACTTGTTAAACAGCAGAATAATCCTAGGGATTCCAGGAAACCCTTTAGAAGTTTTGGAACACTTCTCTCAGAGTTTCTATTGATGTTAAATCACAGCCTTTACATACTAGTCAAAGATGGTGAGTGGGTGCTGAACTCCAAATACCAACTCTAGTAACAGAGAATTGAGAACAGGGAAAGAGTGAAGAAGAACTAAAAGTTGTTAGAGGGCTTATGTATGAAACTTCTTATAGACTAGGAAAACTGGTCTCATGACCAATCTCTACCCAAGCCAGAAAGTTACTTCATGTTCATCTTCTCTACATTACTCCAGTTAAAGCTCCCTGGGGAATGAGAAGGAGAAATATACCTAATATCTCAGATAAAAATGAGTGGGAGGAGAGCAGATATTATAAAGATATGAGAGTAAATCCCATTGCCTTTTAAGATTATGGAATGCACTACAGTCAGGTCCCCTAGAAGGGAAATTAGGAATCATGAAGTCCGAGACTGAGCTACTGTCTCTTTTAGAGGCTACGTGGTCTGAAGCTCTTTCCTCTCTTCCCTCTCCCAATGCATCTCCTTAATAGCTCCTCTCTCTCCTTTCTCTCCTTCTCTTTCTTTCTCTTGTCCTCTCCCTTCCCTTCCTTTCTCCTCTGCATCTTTCTCCTCTCTTTTTCTCTGTCTCCACCACCATTTTTGAATTATACTTGGCCCAAAATACAGTCTTCAAATCAATATATCTTTTCAGTTGAACACCCAAAAGAAAACCAATTCAGTCTTGCACTATTTTAACTACACTTATCAGAGAGAAACTTATTTGGCCCAGATCATTTGTATTGGCCAATGATTGGCCTCCCTGGACTCGAAGATGAGCACATGGAGTTGTGTACATGTAATACTTACATGAAGCCTCCTCTCCAGAGGCTACATATAGGATAGAGCAGGTTCACCAGGAAGGGATCATTTATATTCCTAGCACCACGCAATGGATCTGGAATGTAGTATGTGCTTGATAAATACCTGCTAAATAAATGAGAGAACAGTATATTCATAGCTTATTTTTGTAAATGTGTAGTTTTTTCATACTTTACTACCTTTACTAATAATTGACAGACAATATGTGTGGTGTGCTTATGAGCCAGATGTTGTTTGATGCACGTTCCATGTATTCACTCTGTAATCCTCACAATATTCCTGTGAGAAAATCAGGCATGGATTGTTTAAATAACTTGCCCAAGTTTACATATCTAGTAAAGGGCAGAGCCAAGGCACATACCTAGCCTTTTTAACACTGGCATTCACACTGTTGACCTGTATGCTGAATCCACTCTCAACATGCACTTTATTCTAGACAATATAAAGCAAGTCTATATTCACTTATGCCACTATGTATATTTTAGCATTTTGTAGTAGTTATTATTAAAAATAAGATAATGAAATTGTACAGCAGCAACTTAATGGACATCAAGGAGGTCAAAGAGTTTTCTGGTACATAATGCAAATGAATGCCTAAAAGAGTATAATCATCTTGGTCCTAAAAATCTATTAGTTTTTTTTTCACCTTTTTTTTTGGTTATATAGCTCTACATTCCTTCCTTTTATAATCAATTTTTTTACTTTGATTATTCATTTTATCCATATCCATTTGACTTTTAAATGTGATGGCTACTCTTTTAAAAGCATCATTTACACTCAATTTCTATTCCGTAGCCCCAAACCACAACTCATCAATGCCTCCTCAAAGGGTAACATGTGAGTAGAAAGGGAAGCATGGTAGACAATAAGAGGAAAGTCTTCTGTGCAACAAATAACAAGTCACAATGGCAGTGTAGTTTCTAAAATTCACATATATTATATATAATACAAAGATAATGAAATGAAATGAAAAGTACATATAGTTCAAATTAAAACTAGACTCACTGTTAATCAAAGAAACACAGACTAACACAATCAGATAAGTTTTTTTACTAAACTAGCTCATTTTTTTTAAAAGACAATATTCCCTGATATAGAGAAAGCATACAGTAGGAGAGTAGTATATTTCTAGCAAACAGTATGGTTATATATATAAAGAGCTTTCAAATGTTCATTCACTCCTCTTTCAAAAATTATATTCAAAAAATTATTTCAAGGTTCACATAAATTTATGTACAATGCTGCTCATCACTGTTTTTATACAAATTAATGCTTTGTAATTTAAATGATCAGTGAGAGAATGTTAAATTACAGATTATACATGTAAAATATTGTGCTACTATTAAAGTGTCTATAGAAAATTAATATGATTATTAATTTCCCTTGAAGTGATGCCTATAAAATTATTCTAGGAAACAAGTGAGGATGCATACACATTCGTAAACAAAGGAGACTCAAAAGAAAGACACCAAATATTTATAAACATTATTTCAGTGTGGTAGAATTATACGCGAGTTTTCATTTTTATAAATTTTGATATTCAGAATTTTCTGTGATAAAAAGTTTGTTTTGAGGGCAATATTCTTCCACTGAGTTTATAGTTAAAGGAATTTATTTACTGACTGAATTCTTACCACACACAAGCCCAGAGCATCCACATGCCAGTTCATCTTGGGAACAGTCTTGCTCTTGGTACATTTGGCCCAAAATCTTATGGCTCTAAGTTAGAAGAAACCTACAGTTACCCACCCTCCGCACAGGATAAGAGTTGTAAAATAGGACCAAATACCACTCCCAGAATGAAATACTTTGCATAGGCATCACAGAAATGAATGTTTCTATCCAATTCCTTCTTTCTCTTCCTTCCCTTTTGAGGATATAAGATGTCTCCACTTCTGACCCATGTTTTGTTAATCATTATAAAAGCAAGTAATAAAATCAATGAGGTAAGGAAAATAAAAGGTTTAAATAATACAAGTTTAAATGATTCAAGTTTAAAATAAGCTTAAAGTGAAAATAAATGTAAGAATATATTTTAAATAATAATTTGTAAAAGGACATTAACGTAAGTGTAGAAAGTTTCTTTTCCTGATCTGAAACGCTTTATATGAATTTTCTTAGATTGGTATTTCATGGTATATCCCTTGAACTTACTCTCCCAAAAAAGAAATCACTAAACCACGACACTGGAGGTCTGAAGTTCAATTAAAATAGCACCTCAAATTATTTTCTTTAACAAACAATGATTTTATTACCAGAAAAGAGTAATAAAATATCAAGTTTGAGTGTTGAAAATAAATTTTCACAGTTGGTGAAAGCAGTGATTAAAGTATTTTTTGTGTTTGTAATTTTAAGAGAAAGACAATCCCGTTTATCATATCATTTTATTTTTATTTAAAACAATGGATAATAATAAGGTTGTAAACATTTATGAAACCTCAGAAACGGTTTATCCTAAGTACTTTTTTGTCATAACACTGCTTATGATAAGCTAAAGTTTGATGCCAGCTACAAAATGACGGGTTATTTCAAAGGTTTTAAAAATATTGAGTTTTACACTTTTTTTCTTTTGTTTTGCTTTTGTAGGTTTTTGGTTTTGCTTCTTGATGTGCTTTTTGTTTCATTTTGTGAGTCATAAGTTAACACTATTTTCATTTGCTCTTCTTTCATTGTCATTTGCTGACACATTTAGTTCAAGTTGGCAAGACATAAGTTTTTTGTTTTTTGTTTTTGTAGACAGTCTCACTCTGTTGCAAGGAAGCTGGAGTGCAGCAGCGCAATCTCGGCTCACTGAAACCTCCATCTCCTGGGTTCCAGCGATTCTCATGCCTCAGCCTTCCAAGTAGTTAGGACAGCAGGCGTATGCCACCATGCCCGGCTAATTTTTGTATTTTTAGTAGAGACATATTAGCCAGGCTGGTCTTGAATTCCTGGCCTCAAGTTATCAGCCTGCCTCGGCCTCCCAAAGTGCTAGGGTTACAGGCGTGAACTACTATGCCTGGCCTCTATTCCTTTGATATTGGAAGACAGATTATGTCTATGATTTGACAGTTACAAATTATCTTGTTTAAGGAAATACAGCCATGTTTTGCTCTAGGAAGAATTCTGACATGGTATAAAAATTAAACAACTATAGTTCTACAAAATGTATTTAAAGATCACTGTCATGATTGAGGTGAACTTATCATTTGAGGTGCAATTTTCAACAGTTGGGTAATTGGGAAAAGATAGGTTCAAAGCTTCAAGAAGAGAGATTAGGTTAGCCATGTGTAGGATTTTTCCTTTTTATGGAAAAACTGGAAATTAGTCCCTTTTGCTTTTCTTCTCTGAGTTATATATGTCTATTTCCTCCACTGTATAAGATTCTCAAACACAGGGATGATATCGTATTCACATCGGTACACATTAAATGAATGTTTAATGCATTGAATTTGTTGAAGTGGGAGAAAGAAAGAGGGAGCAAAATGCTGGAGATGTAAAAGCTAAAGTTATATTTACTTTAACTGTATTCCTAATTGGCTTCCACTATTGATTCTGTGTGTTCAAATGGGGCTTTCAGTATCTTAAGTTTAAAATAGATTGATGTGTTTCCAAATATATCTGAGCTGGCTGATCTGGTGGTCACTTGACTTTAACACTTGTGGCCAATGGAAAAAGGGAGAAAAAGGAAGATATTCAATAAATACTCCAAGAGGAGAAAATACATAATACCGAATTAATCAGAGCAGAGAGAAATGTTTAACTTACCGAGTTATTGTCATGGGGATTGAATGTGATAATATATGTTGTCTTTTTTAGAGATCATTTGGATACAAGAACCTGAAAACTGTTTACTAATACAAATAATATAGGGATATATTTTAGAGGGTACAGGAAAATTCCTTAGTGACTAATCAAAAATAAAAAAAGTATAGCTTACTTCATAAAAAATTAAAAAGTCTACATTACTCTCTTTATCTCCTTTTCTCTCCCTGGGATCTCATAGTCTGTCATTAACTCATTTCTCTGAATGTCTGTGCCATTCTTTATGATGTTTTTGTCCTAGGATAACAGAAAATCTAACTACAAGAGGGTTATACAACATGAAATTCATCATCTTATATGACAAAATGTTTGGAGGTAGAACGGATTCAGCAGTGGTAATTCAACAGCTCAACTATGGCACCATGGATCCAGGTTCTTATCTTTATACTTTTCTGCCTTAGCCTGTAGGCTTACCTGTTAAGCTGGTGACTTCAATGGCTCTCAGGTAAATACCTCAGTCTCAGGCGTCAATTGCCTCCAGAAAGAAAAACGGATTGTGTTCTTTCACTCACATTTCTTTTTAAGAGAAAATAGTATCTATTAGGTGTACTCTAGCAATAATTTTATTTGTGAATTACATAGTATTATCACAATAATTTAAAGCTATTTATAAAGATTTCAAACAGGATAGCCTAAAGATATAAAAACATGAGATCAGATAAAAGGCTAGGAAAAAAATTCAACTTTCACTCTGAGACTTTATTAATAGATCAAAAAGTTATAGGCAGTCACATGTAAATTGTTTAAATTTGTAGAAATTTTATTCATTTGGAATATTTTTCATATTAATGTTTATTATAATAGCTGTTATAGTAATTCTAAATTAAATAAATAACATATCAAAAAATCTAATAGAGGCAATAAAATGTATAAAAATAAGAATGATGAAATCCAAATGTAAATTTCAGAGAAAGGGACAACCAGTTCTACCTTAACATGGAGGGAAGAAACTGAGGAAAGTTTCATGGCTAAAGTGATATTTGACCTCTAGAGGTTGGGATAGAGGAAAGCTACACAAAGGAGGGGAAGAGAGTAAGTAAGACTCACAAAAGCCAAGTTGCAAATACATGAATAATATTATGGAATCATGAGAAGTTTTACTTTATAAGAGCGATGAAAATAACAATGACATGTAAAGTGATTTTGATCATGAAATGCCCTGAGAGTCAAGCTAAGAAGTTTTAGCTTTGCAATTAGAAGCCAGAAACCATAACACATTTCAAGGAGCGAGTAATGTGCTTCAGAAAAAGAAAATGGTCTGCAGAATGTTGGGGAAATTGGAGATCTGAAGATACTACAATAGTCTAAGCAAGAATTCATGATTATCTCAACCAGAGGTGAATGAGAATGAAAATGAGAGCTCAAATTCCTGAGGTTGTACCAAGTTGTAGAGGTATAAAACATAACCATCACCTGGATAGGAAGAAAAGGAAAGTCTGAGATTGTTGGACCGGACCTTAGAAACTAGAAGAAAGGTAATGCCTTTACCAGAAGAGTGACAGTGAGGAGAAATTTTTTAGGAAGCTGTGATAAATTGTTCAGATCTGGATCCAGTGCAATTGAGATAACTAGTAGGATGTTAGTTACAAATATTTGGGAAATTCAAGTCTGGAACCTGGAAGAAAATTCAAGAGTATATTTAGAAATATAGATGTCTTCAACATATTGATAATACACAAGAACATAAGAGGAAGAGAAGAGGTGAAAATAAATAAAGCTTCATGAGATGAAAAGCAAAACATTACTTTCTCGTAATGTGTATTATTCTATCCGAATCATATAAGAGTCACAATTGACTCTTATAAGTTGAATCACATAAGTTGAATCATATAAGAGTCACAGTTGACCCACAGCATGAATCTCTGTTATCTTAATTGATTCTCTCAAAGCCGTATCTCAAAGACGTTAGTATCATCGTTTTGCAGTTTGTGAAACGGATGCTCAAAGAGGTTAGACATTTGCCCCAAAGCCTACAATCTGAAAGCAGAGATATTAGAACACTTGTGCTTGGCTTTAGGCTGTAAATCTCACCTTTAATAGTTTATAGTTAACTGAAATAAATATAAATATAAAATCTTTGGATTTGAAATATTATTTAAAGAAGTAAAATAAATATGTATGTATATTATATCCAAGAGTAATGTTCAGGAACTCTATATTTTAATTAAATAATTTAAATATCTCTACTGTTCTCTAAATTCCTTCAAATTTTGAATCGTCAAAATAAGTTCTTTCAGAATTTATAAAGTAAAGGGATAAGATGAGTGGACTGATGTGAGAATTATCAGGCAAATATGTAATCAAATTCCCAAGTACTCAGTCTCAAGATGTAGCACCTGTGAATAGCTGCAGTGCCCAAATTAAACCAGTCAATTGTTTCATTAATATCACTAAAAATTTAAAGTTTAAAAGCTCCTAGTTGGACAAATGGTGAATTAATTTAAATTTTAAATCAAGAGCATCGCTTTGCTTTTGTATTGTACTTTTCTAAAACTCCCAAAGGGTTAAAAACATGATAATACACCTATGTTCAAGATTAATTTGTTTATAAAGACAGCTGTGCCTTCTGATTTGCTTATTTGCATCCTAAGTTTGTATGTTTACAAAATTTGACTGTTCAACCTGCAGATGCCATTTTTAATGTTTTGCTTCAAAACTATTAACCCCTAGAGTTTCTATTTTATTCCATGTTTTAAATATATATATATGCATATATGTGAACATATGCATGTATTTTATAACCTAACATATATATGTATGCATAATATATATAAACTATATATAGAATATATATATACACATAAAGTATAGTATATACAATTCAGTTGGTAGACGGTCTGTTCCTTAAAATAAAACTGTATTTTTCTCTACCTTTTCCTTGGAGATGGCCTTTCCTTAGCATAGTCTATAGAAGGCTGTTATAAGCTGGTTGCAATAGCAGTATGTGGGCAAGAGGACTGTAAATTCAGTGAATATTATTAGTTTATGAATATTCATTAAATGTGTTTGTATGCAGCAAATCAACTTTGTAAATGGTTACAGCCAAAAAAAGCTCTAATTAGAGGAATTAATTAGTATTTGGAAAGGTATACAGGGATTAGTGGGCATGTTGAAGTGGCATTTTTTTCCTCCTGTTGAGAAAAATACCTTCTAGGGAGCTTGCAATACGATTTATGTGCATATCAGGTAGAAATAAACTGGAGTGTTTCAAGTTTTAAGGCCACAAGAGAGTGGAGGTCTGTTGTTCAAGCTAGCACAAGATACTTTGTAGATCACAGAACACCTTGGTGCTTGTCGGAATTCACCATCTTTTAAAAGATCTTGTTACTCACCAATCTTCAAATACTACATTTAACCCTACTATAAAGTTAAACCCAGTTAAACAAGAATAATCTGACAATGGAAACTTTTCCATTTCGGAGTGGTGCTTCTTTGCCTCTGTTACCTCCATAATATCCCTGCCACCAGCAACCAAAAGGAAGCAGCTGTTCTGAATATGTACAAACAAAAGAAGCTGTTACTATGGCAACCATAGAACCCTGTGGAAAAGCTCTCCCTTTAACATTAGCCAACCTCTCCTCTTTACCCCTCCTTCTTTTCCTTTCCTGCGCCAGCACACACTGCCCTTGGACAGAAATGATACTTGGCGATTCCACATGGGGAAATGGAGTAAACACTATAGCCGGCATTCACACTTTCCAAGAGCTGGAAGACTTGCTCCTGGCCAAATCCTATGAAAAGGCTGCAGAACCTGACGACATTTATGGAGCACTTTGTTCCTTGATTCCCAAACCTTCCTTCATCCTCCTTAAAAAAAAAAAATCCTGCTGGTCTCTCTCATTCATGACTTGATAAAGTAAGGATATAATGATACCTCTTTTACCTCTGCTTTGTCAGTTTTTCTCTATCCTATATCCATGTTCATGAGCCAAATGTGGCATTGCTTAAATAAGTCTGTGGATTTTGCTGATTCCAGAGTTGGTGTTGAATTGGATGGAAGATAGGACAGTTTTGACTTCAGAGGTAAATGGTTGATGCTAGATGATCGATCCTGTAGGGTTTTTTCCCTCCATATGGTAAAACATAGAGGCACAATTTATTAAAATTAAAACCAGCTTCAGAAAATCTGTCCAAAACTATTACAATTTGAGGCCTTTCATTTCTATTTTAATGTTTCTCCATAGTTGTGTTTTGATTAATCAATAACATCTTTCACTTATTTATATCCTTTGATAGCCTTCAATTTACTAATTGCTTGTACTCCCAAATTAGTCTTTAAGTCAATCATTTACGAACTTAAATTTGTTTTAAGTCAGTAATTTAAAAAGTGGAATATATTTTGTTGTAATTTAAAAGTTAGTTGTACATGGTTATTCATTGCAGCAAAAGATTAGAAATACCGTTTATGTCCATCAATATTATATGGGTTAAATAAATTATTTTTCATTCGTATTATAGGGAAATATGCTGCCATTATGAGCGAGAGATTGAGACAGAAAGGAGGATACTCTTTATAAACTCTTTATAAACTTATATGGAATCATCTCAAAGATAAATTGTTAAATTTTTTTAAAGCCAGAAAAGAACATCGTACAGAGCATTCTACTCTTTGTGTAGAAATAAAAATGATATGTGTGTATATGTGTGTGTGTGTGTGTGTAATGTGCTTACAACATCTTTGGAAGGACACACACACACACAGCACAGATTCACTAGAGGCATCAAAACTTCTCTGGAGAAGTAGCTCAGTTTCTGCGTTACAGCTTGGAAACAGACTTCATTTTATAACTTTTGTATATGTTGATTTTTATAGATATTACCCATACGAAAATCACTAGATGTAAAATGGTATGAAAATGTTTGCTTTCTAATCCGTGCTGCTCAAATGTTTGGCAGAAAACTGGAAGACAACGACATAAATGTAAAGAAAAACAACGAGTAAAATAGGAATCAAACAGTTCTCCACTAATCAAGCTTTTTTTTTGTTTTGTTGTTGGGGAACTCCTTGATCTTCTGATCACTTCTGGAATTTAGACTTATCACAAAATGTTGTGACAACAAAGGGGTGCCAGACAGTCTTGAAACATTAACAAAAGGAACTCTATTGCCATGTTTTAGACCTTCTTTTTATTGATAACTAGGTCTTTCACAAATTCACAAGCCCTTTCTTGTAGCTGGATTTTTGTTTTGTTTGCTTTTGCATAACCTGTTGTTTCATGTCAAGGTACATGTGCCAAATGTGAGCAACACTGACTAGTGCTGAAATTGAACTTTCCTGATCAATAAGGGGCACGGGTAATTTCAAGCCTTCTTCCTTTGAGACACACACACACACACACACACACAGACACACACATACACACACAGACACACACATACACAGACACTTTAAAAAGAAAATGAAGTATACAGGAAAGCAAAAACATTAAATGCTTTTTAGTAGTTAAAGTGGAGGAAGGGAGAAAATGAGTATGAATAGCAGAGCATTTGTTATAAAAGGAAAAAAAAGTTCTGCAATCCCAGCTACTCAGGAAGCTGAGGCAGGAGGATGGCTTGAGACTAGGGGTTTGAGACCAGCCTAGGCAACATAGTTAGACTCCATGTCTAAAAACAAATTATGTAAAAATTAGCTGGCTTGGTGGGGCATGGTCCCCGACACTTGGGAGGCTGAGGCAGGAGGATCATTTGAGCCCAAGAGTACAAGGCTGCCGTGGGCTATGATTGTACCACTGCACTCCAGCAGTCTGGCTAACAGAGTGAGACCCTATTTCAAAACGAAAAATAAAAGAGAAAAATGTGGAGAATTTTGTCATCAAGGTAAAGTAAAATTCATTCATTTATTGTATTTTGATCATATTCATTCTTCACTATGTATTGAGCCAGCTCCATGAAAGACAGTAATATGGCCACTTAAATTTGTAGTTATCACCCCCTCTATTAAATTCAATAAATATGTTTTGTTATCTTTTACAAACACTGCTTGTTAGGAGAACAGTGTGGTGTCAACAGAGTAAGACATATGCACCTCTAGTCCCTAGGAAGAAAACCTTCAAGCACATAGCAAAGGACCTACCTATATTAGAAGCCCCACAGAATTGAAAGAATTGAAACGCATGCAGAAGAGTTGTTTCAGAAAGCAATATTCAAAGTGTGAACACTCATCCTTGTCAATCAGGGTTCTCACTCTTAAACACAATGTCAGAAGTAAGCTGATGGTTATATTTAATATTTAGGCAAGAAGATACATGTGTATGCATTTTTGGACTTGTACACATACACATACAAGGATTCAATAAAGTGTCATCTATTAGTTGAGTTTTGACATTTGCATCTTCATTTCATTTTCCGTTGTCTGCACCCTGCAATTAGGCTTTCTTTTGCTTCCACCTTGTGCCCTGAAGAGTAAGTTTATGTTGAATGTTGGTGTTAGTAACAGCTTCATCTTCCGTTTTGTGCCTTCTTGTATTCTTTTTCCTCTTTCCTTACCCTTCTCCTGGTTATATCCAACACAATAAAGTCCGTGTAGATATTCATGTCCGCATTGTGACATTTTAATATTTTTAAAATTTGGTTTTAGAGCTCTGATGTTTATATGGCTATATATGTCTAACAATTTAAAAATATAACAGCTTTAAAAAATTATGTTGGCTAACCAAAATATGTTGGCTCAGCTCTCTTTGCCTATTTAAAGTAAATTTATTTTGGCTAGAGTAAATGTATGTATGGTGCTTCATAACATACTAAAATATCATGAATTTGGGAAAATAAATTTAAAGTTGAAACTGCATCTGCTTAAAGATATTTTTGTTTACATTGGATATTTTTACAAATGTCTTTAGTTTTTTTAAAAATAACTCATGAATTGATTTTTTTAGGCATCTATATCTAAGCCTACATTGTTTATTCCTTGTCAGTTTCGATCTGGCTTTTGTACTTGCAGTAATCTGTAAAGGGAGTGATTATTTATGCTTGGACATAATTCTACTGGAAAAATAAGTCTATTCTGTACATTTGAAAGAAGATTTATGTATCATTTTTGCATTTCTAGTAGTTTATAATAGTGACCTGGAACACATTGCTAGATTGCACTAGATTTGATCATCTTTAACAATATTTAGATAATTGGGAAGTTATACTGTCTGTAAACTATTATGAAGGAGGCTACATGGAGAGAAGGCATATTTCCTTGAAAATGATTTCATTCTTAATACATACATAAAATATGACCACCTTGTGCTTTGAATTTTTATGATCATGCTAGCCATAAAATCAAAGCATCATGGCTTCTTGTAACTGCTGTGATTTCTCTTCTACAAAATGAAACTTTCAGAGACATCATACTGACCATTTATTTTCCACTTCCTGATTTGCAGTGCTCTGACATGAGATTTCCATGAAACCTTAAGGAATCGTATAGTTGTAGTAATATACTATTGGGAAATACCCATTTTTACATAAAATATATAAGCAACGGAAAAGCCAAATATTTGCAAGGAAAGAAATACTAAAGAGGAACTTTAAAAACACTGCCTACTGATAAAAATCTTTCCTTAGGGCAGAGAAAAAAAAAACCTCACAAACACACATTTCACACACACAGACTCCTGTAGCATCTTTATTAAATTCCTCACATCGATTTGTTATGGTGTTTGTCACATTGTTTACACAAAGGCAAAATAGCTAAATTTTTTAATCTCCAGAGACTACCATAGTAGTTGACACATAGTAGGCACCAAATGAAAGAACCAATAAGCTTAAGTAGTAAAAACAAAAACAAAAACAAAACACACACGCACACACACACACACGCTCCCACTGCAAATGCTTTCCTTCCAGATTAATTTTCTACTAGGTATTTCACCCAACTAAGACAGCATTACTAGCTTTCTAACTTCCTCTGGTCATTTGTTTCTCTTAACCCAATTCCTATACCGCATTTCTCTCCCCGCAATTTGATTGAATGTTTACTGTCTACGGATGCATCAAGCTCTGGTCATGCTATTTTCTAACAATTTTGGAACTTTACTATAATTTTAAGTATCAGTATGGTGACAGAAACTAGAAAGAAGCACACTGTGTAACTTGCAGTGAGTAATTTGCAGTTTTAGATAGTGAAAGTCAACTGCATATGCATGCTATTTGCAATTAACAAACTGTATCTACTTCGTATATCGTAAGTGGGAAGCAAATGGCATAGTAATAATTGATACAAATGGATATAGGTACAGGGCTTTTGGGTTCAAAACTCATCAGTTGAATGATTTTTTAAATGTTTCAAATAATATTTGTAGTGTTTACTGAGTACTCAGAATGGTGCTTAATTAATCATGGCTCCTGTCTTAAAGTAGCATACATTCATTTATGAAAGTAAGTGTGTACAGTTGAGACAAAGTTATAGAAATTTCAAGAAATGGAATCTTGGGGCATGATTCCCGAAATGCTTATAGAAAAGTAGACAAAACTTAGAAGAAAGAATCATAGTAGCAGTGATGGAT